ATTAATCTTTTACATAAAAATGGTAAAAGGATCAATTCATGGAATTGCAGGGCTGTACATCTTATCCCTTATCTCTTGCTAAAATGGCAATGAAAACATCTGAAAGTTCATGTAATCGTGGGCTAAATACAGACATTAGACATAAACCAGTATCAGTGACTGAAAACCAGTCTACACCTAAAACAGAATAGAAGTTTGGGGTACGTAGACTAGTTTAAAAAGCCAGATCCAGTCTAAGACCTTGACTGATGAGGTATCAGACTTAATTATTTTTGATTAGACTGGTCTATCAAACTTCTGTGCCAGAACCCCTACCAATTCATGTTAGGTTGCTGTCCCTTTGTATCCCAGGTACTTTGCAGCTCCCTTCACTAGTCCCTCTTCATATGGAGATGCACTAGCACTCACCAAATGCTTGGCTGCTCAGGGGAGCAGGGTCTTGCAATGGGCCAGGGGGATAGGGGTGCTCTGTAGAAGGAAGGATTGTGCCCTTTGGAGCTTGGCACCAATGGCAGCTGAGGGGCCTGATCTTTGCTTCTACGAAACACCTCTATCCCTGTTGTCTCCTGGGCTGCGCCAGTGCATCCTGCTGGTTGCCTCTGGTGCTGAGCTCCAAGGACCTTAATCGTTCCTTCTAGTACCCCTATCTCTGCTACCCAGTGCAAGCCCCCTTCCCCTGCCCTCCCCGGCTGCATCAGCATGTCCTGTCAGCTACTTCTGGTGCTGAGGTCTGGCAGGACAAGCCCAGCACGGCCTGGGAGTCTTGTGCTGCGCAGCAGGGATGTAGGTACTCTACAGAAGTAAGGACTAGGCTCCTTGGTTGCCACTGGTGCTGAGCTCCAAGGGGCCTGATCCTTCCTTCTACAGAAGACCTGGGACAGCCCTCACTGGCTGCCATGCACATGACACCAGCCCACTGCCATCATTGTGGATGCTCCCCCATGCCCAGCCCTAGGCTTTCAGGAGAGCCCCAGTTCAGCTATATTCAGCTACCTTTCACAGTCTCTGGCATACTGGGAGATATGCAGCAGCATCCCTTGCCTTCTGGTCTTGGCCAGTGGAGGCATCTGCATGCCTCCGCCCATGCAAAGGGCAAATGTGTGTTGTGTTTGCTCCCGATCCAAGCTCGCAGCTTAGAAAAAACTGTGTAGATGTAATCGATTCTGCCTTGGACTTTTTGAATGTCTGTACCAAGCCATAGACTCCACACAGCATGGGCTCTGTATCAGAAAAACACAACCCAGGAGTCTATTGGAAATATATGAATATGTCAACAAAACTATTGGCAAATAACAGAAAAATAAAACTAGTTTAGACTTTCAAAGGGCCTTTGAGAGAGCCTCTCACAGGAAGCTACTAATAGAATTAAAAAAAAAATGGCTATGTGGCTCAGAGACTGAAAAAGGACAGAGACAAACATGTAATTTTCACTGGTTAAGAGTGGGATGCCCCAAGATTTTATAGTATAAATTTATAATTTATTTGGAAAAGAGGGAGACAGTACTGAAGGCAAAAATTGTAGATGAGACAAATAAGAGATTATTCAGATTTTAGAAGCCTAGATCTCTTCAATTCCTAGTGGTTAATGTAGATGATGGGGTAACATTGTAGCAGATAACAGTCAGTGTTTAAAAAGGCAAAATGAAAATGCAAATTTATACATAATATAAACCACACATACATCCTACTGGGTTATCTGGCTATCATTGAGGACATTTAATGAAAACTACTATCAGAACTGCATAGGCAGTAAATACAAACAAATGAACAAACAGCTGCATCCTCCAATCAATCAAGATACACAATGAAAAAGAAGGAGAAAATATGGAAGGACATAATGATTTGTATAAACACATAATAAATGTACTTAATCTGGAACACTGTGTTCAGTTTTTTCACTTCACATCACAACTAGACACTTTTTTTGTCTGAAGCAGCCAAATACTTGTCAGTGTCAGAGAAGATATCATACCAGACAGACTACTGGCCTTTTCCAGGATAAGTGTGAAAAGCAACTGCAAAATTATAGTCTGGATTCCTCTGTTTATTTTCTCTCATTCATTCTTTATCAAGTGTACTTGGTCATACACAAGTAAAATCGATATTGTTTCTACCTATTAACCCTGAGAACTCAACCTGGGTTCTGAGAGGAAAGTTGGATCATTTTTATCTGGCATACTATCAATATTAATAAAGGTTTGTACAGTCCAAAGTTTGCCCTCAGTGAAAGTTATGCAATGCTCCAATGGTTTTGCATTATATGTTCAGTGACAAGAGGTATTTTTGAAAGCCCCTCACTCCAAGGAATGTAGCATGACTCTTAAGCCCAGAGTTCCTGCACTAATTTGATATCCTCTCACTTTTAGTGTCACAATTATTTATAGAAGCAATAAAGAATCACGAAAATGAAGGTATAGAAATATGTGCACCAGAGGCAGGTATCCCACAGAATAGAAATTACCTTCATGATTACTATTTTTGTGTCTATTTTGGGGTCTTTCTTACACACTGGTCACATCTACAAGTGTCTCTTTTAAGTGGGCTTAGACTAAAATCGCCATTTTTAAGGCACGTTAAGGGCACAGGTCTACATGTGCAAACCCTTAATGTGCCTTAAAAATGGTGATTTAAAACTATGTGGGCCTAAATTTGATACCTGCATAAAGCAGTCTAATTACTTAAGTTCCACTAAAATAAGGCCTGAAAAAAAACCAACAGAGGAAATGGTGTGCATAAAGAGGGTGATCTGCCTAAACCTCCCAAGCAAGAGACAGTGGGCATGTCTACACGTGTATTTAAGCACACCTAAGCTTAATGCACCTTCACTTAGGGCACATTAAGGCAATTTAGATGCATATCTACACATGGATGCACCAATGTGCATTAAGGCACATTAAATTTAGGCATGAATAACAAAGTCGCATTAGCGCACGTGTGGACACACTAATGCAAACTAACAAGTTGTGTGCCAATGGATACACACTGTATTAATTCGCATTAGCATGACTGCACATGTGCTAACACGACCTGGCTATTTGTTTCTCAAGCACAGCACCACAACACACGGCTGTTTATAACTATGGGGCTCCACCATCCCATGCGCCCCTCCCTTATGCCACCTTAACCCTGAGAATCCTTTCAGGGTAGAATGAAGAGTTCAAGGAAAGTTAAACAAAATAAGAATAAACGACTCCTGGCCTTTACTGTGGCTTCATCAAAACTTCTTAATTCTTTGCTTTGGCATCTTTCTTACTCTTCCTGACTCTGGGCTAGGGCTTTCTGAGCGTGTCCCAACCCTCAGCATCCTGCTCTCTCTCCCTGGCTCTGAGCAGGGTACTCCCAGTCATGCCCCATCCCTTGGTGTCTCACTCTCCTCCCCCGGCTTCCAACCAGGGACTTCAGGTGTGCCTCACCCCTCTGCTTCCAGCTTTCCTTCTCCAACTTTGAACTGGGGACTTTTGGGTGTGTCCTGCCCCTCTGCCTCCAGCTCTCCTCTCCTGGCTTCTAACCAGGGACTCCAGGGTGTGCCCACCCCTCCATGTCTGGCTCTTGCTTGCCAGCTCTGAGCAGGGGATTCTTCTCCGTGCTTGAGCTGGCAGTCCCTCCTCCCACACTGTGTGGCCCCATCTCGAGCCAGCATGCACCCCGGATGTGAGACTGCTGGCTGGTCCTTTCTTTCTCTGAGGTTATTATGAAGACGGAGGGCTTGGGTCAAGGGTTGGTTCCCCAGGGATTCCCCTGACCCGATACCTCTCCCTCTCACAGAGTAAAGAAAAAAAAAAACTTAATTTGGAAGCCAGAATTTGAACCCTCCTTTTATTTTTTTCTATGAAAAATTAGGAGACACGTTACTATATAAAAGTAACTTAGGGGGCTGACTGTAATGGTTAGCACATTTCCAGGAAGAAAGGGAACTCTTAGCTCTAAAAGTCACTCTTATGCAACACATCCTCACAGAAGAAGACATTTCAAGCCTGAGACTGAATCAATTCAATCTTTGCAGGTTAGCATAAGCTGGGTAGATTGAACCGATAAACAAGTGAACAGATATTCATTTTTGATTCTGGAAATGCAGTCACATGGCTGCAAGTAGCCCAGGCCAGAAACTGGGGGCAGGAGGGTGCTAAAGCATGCCTCCCTGCTTGAGTGGAGCAGACAGCTTGGGCCAGGGCTGGTCCATTCACTCTGAGAATTTGTGGCAGAGGTGCAAAGCATCCTGGGATGCTGGGGGACTGTGAGTTAACTTGAATCTAGAGGGGATTTAGGATAGAATTTCAATAAATCAATTTACCCTAAATCAGTTAACTCTGATACTACATCCAGGTTTATCTTAAACTAATTTTGGCCATTTTGAAAATGGTTTGTGCACTGAACTTCTGTTGTTACAGATCTGAACTGGTTTCTGATCACTTGTGTATAATTTCTGTCCCTAGCCCTTGAGTCAACTTGATCACAAACAAACAAAACCCCTCTGGTGTCCAAGCAGATTTGAGTGAATTTTAAAATTATGTTATACTAAAAATGTAGCTTATATAAAACCAGAATATAAGAATATATTGATAATAAAATAAAATAAAAGGCCTGAAAATAGCTAATGACAAGTCCACACAGATACATTCATTAGTTCTATTAATAAATGTATATAACAAACAAACAATGAAATGTTTGTAAGACAATAATTGCTTCAAAGCAAAGGCAATGGATTTGTTTCAGTTTTATGAAATATGTAATAGCATGACTGCCTACTACTGCTTTGATGGGGAAACCATCTGACAGAGACAGAGATACAGCCAGAAGGAACATGTCTTGGTATCTTTAAAATTCCATACAAATGTCATAACAAATCCACATTCATCAGTAGCACTGTGAAGGGAAGGAATAAGGGCAAACCTTTAATGTTTCATTTAAAACGGTTTAGTTTCTCACGGAAACTGATAAAGACCCGACATCTGTAGAAAATCCAAGGAGCTTTCCTTTATTTCCTTCATTCTCAGACATACCTTGGCTGACCTAGTGATGGCTCCAATCTCAGAATAAAGATCTGTGCTGTCTGGGAATTTTTCCACCACCATAGTGCAGACATGATGCAGAAGAGACTGCTTGTGCACTGTGTCCTTGACTTCTGGAACCTTCTCGAGGTAGCTCAATTCAAAAGCTTTGGCCTGTGAGGAACAAAGACATTACGAAGACAAGTAAATTTATCCTGCAGAGTTCTTGAAAGAAAACATTTATTAAGAAATAATGGGTAAAAAAGGATGAACAAAAGAGATTACTCCTTTTAAATAAAAAGAATAAAATAATACAGTGCTCATTTATACAGTATTTTATATGCTGTTGTAAAGAGAGCAGGCACTACACTTGATTTGAGCCCACAAGAGGCTGAAAAATGTACCACAACTGTGTACAGATACTTATTTCTACCAGAAGGCATTTTTTTCCAGTAGAAAAATAGCCCAGGAGCTGGAAGGCATAGATGTTCCTCCAGCCCTGTGACTAGAGAGCTTCACAGTCAAGCACTCCAGCCAGGAAGCACTAGAGGGCTGTTTTCTGGTCCATCCTTATGGAAGCTATTAACTGGCAGCCTGTCCTCTCCATGCCTGAGAAGGGGGCTGGCTGTCAAGTGGCAGTTGGCAGCTGCTGCAAAACAGTAGCTGCCACAGATAGCTGGGGAGGGTTCTTACCCTGGGAGAATGCCCCCCACATCCCACCAATCATTGGATTGGCAGGAGAGGGGTATTCCCCTTTGGTGGGGACCCTCCCTGTTCTCCCCCATAGGAAAATAGCTCTGCTTTTTGCACTCCACTGAGATGACTCAGAGGCATGTGGGGCGACGAATGTGGGGAGAAGGGAGGGGAAGCAGAGCACTCAGACACTGTGGCAAGGCTCTGAGAGCTTTGAGGCAGGAGTATGGCAGCCTGCCTCACCCTGTGCTGTTCCGGGCTGACCCAGTGCAGTATCGGGCAAGGCAAGGACATTTCACTGTGGTGGCAGAGCTCCTGGCACAGCAACCTGCCTCATCCTGCACTGCTCTGAGTCAACCGGGCAGCAAGGAGAAGTCTCCACAGACCACGCTCCCGCCCCCTTCAGCTTCCCCTTAAGTTCCTCACCTCCCTCTTATCAGCTGAGCAGTGGGAGCAGTGATTTAAAAGCTGGAGGAGCTGAAAGCCAGGTTGTGCAGAGGCTTTCCTCAGCCCAGCTCCCCTTTGCTGCTGCACATCTCGTTGAGTGGCAGACAGCAATTTAAAAAATGGCAGTCAGGTGTAGGGTTTATGGAAAGCCTCCCTGCCCTACCTCCCAGCTTCTATTTGCTGCCCAGCCGAGCAGTAGGGAAGAGACTTAAAAGCTGCTGGAAGCGGGTTCCTAAACCACGCTCCCAGACACTGACTGCCAGATTGCCACCCTGCCACACAGCTGGGCAGTGGGGGCCAGTGGGAACTGGCAAAGTGCCTTGCCTCTTCCCAAAACTGGGGACTGTCAAGTTTGGGGAAGAAACAGGGAATGGGGGCTGGGAGATGCTCCCCTCACCTCCCAGTCTATGGGAGTGGGGCAGAAGGTGCCCCCTGTGCTTTCTCAAGGCTGGGGTGATCCCATGATCAGGAATGCAGGGAGCCTTTCTCCTGGCTCCACTCATCCTAATCTCCAGGAGGAGTTAAGATGGGGGAAAGTGTAGAGATGTTCAGTCTCCTGGGAGAAATGCTCTTGGGAGCTATTTAACCCTGGTTGTTTCCATTTTTGCTCCAGAAGAAAAGCCCCATACATGTTTGGTTTCTACCAGGAGAATTGCAATTCTCCCAGCAGAAACTGAATCTGGGCTTGTACCTGGCTTCTAACTGTACTGAAAAGACACAGGATATTTTACTTATACTATGAATGAAGTGCAGCTCCACTGAAGATAATCAAATTACAATGATGTGAGAACTAGGCCAAGTCCAAAACCTCTTTCATATTCTTTTAAAGGCAAAAACCTGCACTTGAGAAATATAAAACATAGGTTTTGTTCTTCAAATTACAGGCATATATTAAGAATATAGATAATAGGCCATAGTCACACTACTGGGCAAAGAAGCTGATAAAGCAACTCTGTAATAGTAGATGGCAATAAAATGATAGGGTGACAAAAGCTTACATTGGTTCCATTTAGAAAGTTCCCAATGGCTAGTAAAGTAGAAAGGATAAGTCCCAAAGTTTTATTATGTTCCAGCTGGTCCATTCCTTCCTTCAGATCTAAAAGTGGTTCTGCAACTTCCTATCATTTAAAAAAAAAAGAAAGAAAAGAAATAAGTAAAGGAGAAAAAATTGTTTTCCAGTGAGTTCTGACTCAATTCTGGGGTTTAGATTAATTATTGTAAAGGTTCCTAAACTGTGTTCCTACAAAGAGTTGGCTTGTCAAGAGGAGCTGGCTTTCTTCATTGTTCCAGCTACTAAATCACATGAAAAGACAGCAAAGTAATAAATTAAATTCTTTCCTAATGTTGCCTGTGCATGTAAGCAATTACCTGTCATGGGGAGGTTATGTGTTTGCAAGTGGAAGAGGACATTACACTGAACACAGTAATGAAATCTCTTTCCTCTCTTTTTTGTGACCTTTCAAAAGACAATAACACCTATTATTTTTTGGTGGCTTGAAATTTTAAGTCTGACTTAAATTCTTTCCAAGTGATGGCTGCCTTGAGTCACAGACAGGATTGTGTGCTACTTTAAAGCTCTAATATGCCACTTTAAAACCCCCAAACCCCATTGTGTCTACCTTTACAAGACTGGATTCTGGTTTTAATGTTTTTACTTGAAAACTCTTAATGTGCCTGCAATTTGCTACATGAACTGATAGGCTTAGAACCATAAATTCTGCTTCATTATCTCAGGAAGTGAACTACACAATGTAGTTCAAAGGCAGAGAGAGATAGAGTAATCTAAATGAATGAGCTTATTCTTATGTTTTTTGTGTGGCCATGAGCTGTTTACTTTGCATATAAAATAAAGTGAACATACTTCTCACTTCTCTTTATCAGGAAATTTAATTTTAGCGATCTGTGACCAGCATCCTTTCCCCAAACTGTTACTGTGTTTAGGTACTGAAGAGTCAAAATTAAGTGACGGCATTTTAGACCAAGAGGCAAAATAATGTCAGAACTGTCACAGAGAAAACATGGAAAGTCATTCTCAGATCGTGCAGATATTTTACTAGAGGCATGTGCATGGAACAATGCATTACTAGTCACTACTATTACCATGTTGTTGGAAAGAAAAGACAAGAATTGGAACTTTGGAAGAAACTGAGAAGTAAAGTTCAAGGCAATTTATACAGAAAAACAGAAGTGAAAGGGAAATGCCTTCATGGGGACCTTACTCCTGTTTAACTAAAACTGTTTTATAAAATAATTTAGTTAAATGGGTACTTCTGTATGAACACATTTCAAGTAATTTAAAAGTTTATTTAATATAGCTATCCTTTTTAAGGCAAATTACTGGGGTAAGCCAAATTCATATAAAAAAATTGTAAAACACAGGCATTTGCTCTGGTTTAGCTAACCAACCTTATGCAGACAAGTCCTAAAATGGTTTTACTTACATTTTATAAAACTAGTGGAAAAAAGGACCAGAAAAAACTTACAGGTAAGATTGTGATGCATGGAATAAGTAGAGCATACTTTAGCTTATTGTATACCTTTATTCAGTCACTCACATGCAAAATATTCCAGCTTAGACACCCTTACATGGATTTTCTGACATATTCTTCTTCTCCTTATTATTATTATTATCATCATATATTTTTATAGCAGTGCCTAGTGACCAGCCAAGAATAGGACCCCCTGTAATTGTTACTGTATATACAGTCTGACACATAGCATGATGTCAAAGAACATACAGTCTAAATAGTGGTAAGAAATAGCACTGCAGTGCTCATCATGGTGGCTTTTAAACCTCATATTAGTGCCACAGCCCTTTTTTCTGGTGGGAATAAGGGAAGTTGGTGGGTTATGGTTTTTTTGCTTGCTTGCTTTTTTGTAATAAGAGAATTTTCAGTGTAAAGTTTAACTAGCAGGATGTTAGCATAATGGACTGACAAAAGAAGAAGAGATGAAATAAAGGATAACCCCAATATATTGCAGGATAACTCAAATATATTGCATTTACTCAACTACAACATTTACCTTCCCCAAAAAATAGCTGCTGGAAACTGGTATGTATTTCTTAAATGAGGAAATGAAGGGAACAGAGGAGTTGATTCTGTGGGAGCCGAACCACCTAGCCCCTCTTCTCAGGCTAAGCAGGCAGCCAGCAGCGTTTGCTGAGTCAGCTAAGGGCCTTATCCTGCTGGAGCCAAATTGGCTGGCCCCTTTTCTAGAGCTGGATGGGTTCTCAGCTGACTCAGGTGGGTGCTGCTGGCTACATCCTCCAGGTCAACTCCAGAAGAGAAGAGGGGCTGGGTAGTTTGGTTCAGCCAGCAGACCCTGCTGTATCCTGCAGCTAGGGGCCAGAGTAGTCATAGGTTTTGCTTTCTTTCCCATGTGAAAATACCTTATTTTCAAGCAAAGATTTTTCTGTTTTTCAATAACAGGGTGCAGGTCTTATTCAGGGGCATGTGATATGTAAGAAAATACAGCAGAACGGAAATTTAAGTAGTCAAAATTTGCTGCCTATGCATTGGTTAAGATGCAAGCGTTAAACACCCTCCTTTCTGAAGATTATAACATGTTAGGACCAGCTTCCACAAATTCTTTCTAGCTTCCAAAAAGTTTGGATGCAATTTCAGAATGTTTTCTCTAAAAAAATTAGACTTCATGTGCAAGTATGATATTTCTTTAATATACAATAGCATGTGGTCTCCAGTTTGTGCAGACTTTGCAGTCTTTGGAGATTTTCAGCAATGAATGGCAATCCTTGTCTTCTCTAGCTTAACTCCTCTAGTTAGTACACCTGCTTGCACTCATTGATGATCCTTACAGTTTTCAGCATTAAAGATAAATATGCACATGCTGAGCTTAAAGGCTTTTATCTTCAGATCAAGGAGAACTAGCTCAACAAAAATATATGCCACTTTGTCTTAACTTCAAACTTATCTTGCGATGTCAACCCTCCCCCCTCCCTGGAAGAAAAATAAGAGTACATAATTTGACAGTATCTGAATTGTATCTACCTCAGAGCAAAGAACTAGCATTGACATATAATGTTTACATTAGGAATCAAAGAAAACAAAAGCCAAAAAGAGAGAGAGATGATTTAAGGTTGATACTTAAAACAGAATATCACCTTCTTGTGTTTGTGCCATAAGATACGGTTTAGCTTAAAAAAGCTGTTAGATACTAATAGCATTCTTTTACTAATTTATGCCTGAATAATCAGTAAGTGTTTCAAAATATAAGGAAACATTATTGCTCCTCCAATACTTTTGTATTATTTGCGTGGTAACATGTTGACACGTTAAACCATTATATACATGAAAACATCTTTTTAATTTGGTCACGTGGAGAATTGTATAAGTTGTCATTGTTGTTGTTTTTAAACGTAATTTTAGATGTTAAGAACAGCTGAATCACTTCTGCTCCAACTTCATAAAGAATAAAATGCTTCCTGGCTGAGAGGAAGGAGGAGGACTTTTTTAGAAAGTTGCACAATGAACTTTTAACTCTACTACTCTACTACTCTACTAAGGCCCCCTCTACACACTGCAGGTATTGCACAATTAACTGGTTAATTGCACAATTACCTTAAGACCAGCTACATCTGCAAAGTAGATATCACATGATAGAAAGCTCCAACCAGCTACAAATTTAGGCCTTAAAAATATGTACTAACTTTATAGCTGGTTGTTATCAAGCTTTAATTTTCACGTGTAGCAGGGTCTCCCTTGTGCCTGGGAGTCCTATTAACTGACAGGACTTCCAGCTGTGAGGTATACCTTGCCCAGTGTGAAACCCTGAGGTCTGGGGATCAGAGCTTCTATCTCCAAGGCTGGGGGGAAGGGGGATGAAACCCCCAGCCCACACAGGGCTCCTGGTCCAGCTCCTCACCCACAACAGGGACCAAGAGACCCTGCAACTCCACAACTGATGGGACTCCTGGCCCCAGATGCACCTCCTGCAAGGTGCAGCCTGGAACAGGAGCCCTGTCAGTTGTGGGGTTTTTGGTCCAGGTTGCGTGTTAGGCACAGCCTGGACCAAGAGCCTTGTCAATTGTGGGGCTCTTGGCCCTGACTGCATGTGACTCCCATGGCTGGGAGCCCCCTCATCAAAGAGGTACCTAGCCAGGGGAGCTTGCTTCTTGCCAGCCCAGGGAGTGCGCAGGATTGGGTTTCCCCTGCATTGGCAATATGGCAAGTTGGATCTAATGCACAATCCCACAATCACACCCCCTGCCTTGAATATGTAGCATGGCAGGAGGTGTAATTGTGTGGATCATACATTAGATCCAAATGCACCTTTACCTGGATGTGTAGAGGGGACCTAACACAGCAACTCAAATATGTTCCCATAAACGTAAAAACACACATTAGTTCATGCACTCTGTAGTCCTGCTAATGGAAGTTCATTGTCTATAATATCTTTTGAGGTACTCCAGACAATCCAATTTCAAAGATCCAAGAAACAAGGTTTCAATCTTTCCCCTCAAGACAGTTTTCCTACTTGTCTTTCTCAATGTTACTGTTAGAAAAATGTTATGGTACAGAGCCTATGTTTTTCTTGAACATTTTCACATTATTCATTTTAAGTTACTCTTGTTTTATTCAAAATCATCAGAGATGAAGCTCATATCTGATACTCTGACAAGGGACGGCTTTTAGCAAAAGAAACAAGATATTTTATAAAAGTCTACCACAAGAGGACCTTGGCCGTATGTCAATAGTGCCAGCAATTAGTTAATTATACTGCTATGGAAAGATTACTGTAACAAATGCAGAGTATCTGTACCATGTTTTAACAATGTTCATTTCAGTGGTTCTTTAACACCTGAAGTAAAAGGCTTTCTGGTCTATCCATTCCTATAACTGTGTGTATAAGTTGAGAAATATTATTAGAATGTATTGACATTTCTGAATTTTCAAAATTTTGGTTTGCTTAAAATGATTTTAAAAATTTTGGAAAAATTTAACCAAAACAGATTTTAGGACAATAGGATATGCTAAACCCTGCTCTGAGGAGAGGTTAAGGCAACTGAAGAACATCTTTTGCAAGCAGTGTGTTTAGTGAGGAAAATACTTATTCAGGAGGCATTTGCAAGAGTCTTTGGAAAGATATTTCCGTAATTTTTTAATTGCATTTCATTTTACAATAATCTCCTTAAATCCAATATGGAAAAATGTGGATTTTTAATGACTGAGTTAACAGAAGTTGACATAAAGGGCTAAACTTATTCTTGGAGTAATTCCATTGTAGGTAAAGTAGTTACACTGGATATGATTTTGATTTTAAAGTATTCAAACAAGATACATTTTGTTTGTGTGTGTTACCAGTCAGGAATTTCCTAAAACCATAGTCTAAAATTGGCCAAAATATTAAATTAAATTATTCTTAGTCTTAATGCAAGCAAAACTCCACCTGACTGTTCTGAATATTTTGACTGGATAAACAGCAGTATGGATTTAGCCCTGTGCCTTGTTCACAAATTATTACTACCTAATTAAAGAAGGAAGAAATAAGGCTAATAAACGGGCAATTTTAGCTTCATTTCCAGTTGGTCACCAAAGCAAACATGAAAAGCAATTCATTAGCCGTACTCACAATATATCCAACTAGGAGGACTGAAGAACTTGAAATAAGAACCTGAAATGGTCTCCTCCTTCCACTCAAAGGAAGCTCACCTTTTCCACTAGCTCATAGTCCATTTTGAAAGCCCAGAGCTGGAGTCTGGCGGAGAGTTCGCTGATAGAAGAAAGTGTGAGAAGAAACTGTTCTGCGCTGCCCAGAGGAATGTCTGGGTTTGCCATCTGTGCCTCCTGGATTTTCTGCTTCTCCTCCTCTGTAGGAATCATGGTTAGAATTTTCTAGGACCAAAGCCAAAGGACAAGAACTCTGAGTCAAGAGCATAAGAAATGAGATTTCAAAACATTTTGTTTTAATTCTGAAGGAGGAAGGGTAGGGAGAACTAGCATGTCCAGAATCTGGAATGTACTTCCAAGGGAGGTGGTGCTCTCCCCTACCTTGAGGGTCTTCAAGAGGAGACTGGACAAGCACCTGGCTCGGGTTGTCTGACCCCAGCGCTCTTTCCTGCGCATGGCAGGGTGTTGGATTCGATGACCTACTGAGGTCCCTTTTGACCCTAACATCTATGAATCTATTACACAACATATATTGGAAACAGCATTTTTCAGTTAATTAAGTAACACACTTGGTACTTGCTTTATTTACACTGGCTTTACACTGGGGTAACTCTGCTGAAATCAACAGAGGGACTCAAAACAAGTGAGAATAAAGTTGTGACCAGAATCGAGCATATTCAGGTATGAACTACTGTCCAGGACGCTAAACTATAACGAGGAAACCTTGAACACTTGCCATTTGTTTAAAATTAGAATTAAAAAAACATTTTTTTTATTTTGATGAACTGCAGGCAGTTAACCACAGGAAAAAGCTATCGAAATATTACTCCTTAATAAGTCTTTAACATAGTAAATGTTAAACCCAAAAAAGAAAAGCAAAATGCATCAAATAATTCAGGACCTATTGTCTATTGAAACTGAATAGTAGGTTTTCAACAAGACCTGTCTATTCATTGAAAAGAATGTTACGTTTTTCCATGATGGCCAAATCAGCTTCATAGGGATACAAAAGAACCACAAGATCTGCCATACTAGGTCACACAATTGACCAATCCAATCAAAAATCTTGTTCTAGCAGTGATCAATAACTGATGTGATGAACCAAAGGAAGACCTCTCTGCCCTGTCCCATCTATATGCATCTACTTTACTGCTGATAAGCATGGGAAGAGAGGGGTTCCCTTCTTATGCCATTATGTGAAGGACCAGGTTTAATCCAGCAAATTATCATCTTGCATTACTAGCATTTATTTAAATCCAGCCACAGTACAGTATCTAATGATTTGATAAGGAAAGAGTAAACTTTATTTTCAAGGGACTCCCCTCCTCCCTGAGTTTTATGTAAGCACAAGAGGCCGACAGCTGACAAAAGCGTTCAGTGCAAGACATCTATGCCACCGAGACAATTAATGTAGCATGTGAAAAAGCTAGGCCAACCCAATTTGCTATGCAAGCTGTCAAGGATCATGACTGCTGTTGAAACGTTGCCTTGGAAGGATGAGAGCAGCTGTTGACATGCTGGCTGATTTCATGTTAGTTGCACTCAAGGAAGAACAAATGCCACAACAAGTAGTTCTTCAGAGAAACTTTCAACCATTTTAACAAATTTATTTTTATCCTGTGATTTCTTTGTGCCTTCATGAGAAAGCCATACATAGTTTCATAGTTTCTAGGGTCGGAAGGGACCTGAGCAGATCATCTAGTCCGACCCCCTGCCATGGCAGGAAGAGCACTGG